ATATAGCTATTTTTAATTACAGTGACAAAATACCTTCATTTTTAAAGGGATGAGGTAAATTTGACTCACAAATATTATCAAAGATGCTTATCTTGCCAGGCACTGATACATAGCTATAGTCAGCTCTCAGGAGGATGAAGCAGAAGGATCCTGGGTTTGAGGCCAGCCTGGGTTACATAGTGAGACTCTGTATTTTAAAATATATAAATATTTTAAATATATATATTTAATTATTGGGACTGGAGAAATGGCTCAGCAGTTAAAAGCTCTTGTTGTTCTTGCAGAAAACCCAGATTCAACTTCCAACAGCCATAGCATAGTTAACAATTATCTGTGACTCTAGTCAAAGGGACTCTGATGCCCTCTTTTGACTTCTCAGGTACCAGACATACATGTGGGAAGCAAATCACTTACACATATAAAATAAAAATCTAACATTATAATACTAATAAAGCTCTTATCTTGATTAGATGCTTTGTGTGAAAAAAAATAGCTAATGTCCATGGAAAACTAAGCAAAGAGAAGGAGACAGTTTACTAAATACTGTACAAACAACCCCACCTTACCCCATATAGGGACCGATCACTTCCTTGTCACTGAAAAGCTGAGTGTTGGTGCCTCTGGCTCCCAAGGAACATGCTGCTGAAACTATTGTCCTGCTTCTGAGCTGATGAAAGGCAAGCCCAAACATCTGCTTTAGAACCACAGACAGGATGCCTGCCAGTGCTGTGTCCTAATATGACAGATGGAATAATACTGAGCGTCTTTAGAACATAAGACAGCTCTTAAAAACTGAAGAGTAAACGTATTAGAACATCCTAGTCATTCTGCGGTGTCTCTCAGTCTCATTAGAGCAGCCTACACCTGGAAAGAGATTCCCCAGAAATAGAAAAGTTACTTCAAATTAATGGGGAGAAATCCCCTAGTAAATTCAATGGGTTAACCAGATACTCAATGGAAAACTTTTAACCATCAATTTGTGTCTCTAAATAACAAGACAATTAAGTTTCAGAAGAATTGAAGAGCCAAATATAAACAAATTTTAACCACATTAAAAGAAAGTGTAGGGAGGTTAAAGAGATGTCTCAGTGGTTAAGAGTGCAGACTGCAGCAGGACCAGAGTTTGGTTCCCAGCACCTATGTTGAATATTTCACAACCATCTGACCACCAGCTACAGGGAGTCTGATAATCTCTTCTGAGCTCCATGGTAATTCCTCACTAATGTGGCATACATTCACTTAGCTACACACACACACACACACACACACACACACACACACAAACACACACACTACGTAAAAATAAAATACATCTTTTAAAAAGGAAAATGAGAAAGAAAAAATTCTTCAGTAAGAGATGTTGGCAGAGACTGCTCTTAAGAGACACAACCAAATATTACAAAAAGAAAAGCTGATATATGGGTCAGGCTTAAACCTTTCAGAAGACAAAGACAGCAAGGGTAAAAGGGGAGCACAGAGTCAGCAAGACATTTATTATATGTAACCCTATATACATACACACACATACATGCATGCATACATACAAGTTTCTAAATCAGAAAGCCATCTAAAAGAATAAGCAAATGTAATTTGATTTAAAAAATCAAAGAGCTTGTCAAATCATGGTGCTGCATATCTGTAATTTTAGAAGTAAGGGGTCTGAGGAAGAAGAAGTCTCATGAGTTCAAAGCCAGCCTGGACCACAAAAAGTCAAAATACTTCTATTAACAATAACAATAAAGAAAAGGTTCTCAAACAACGAGACACTATTCACTATCTGTCCAGGCATATTACAAACATTGAGCTACAGATACTACATATTATGTGAGAAAAGGGGTCCTCGGGGATGTCTGTGTATCATTGGGTTGGGGTGAAGTGAAGTGGGAAAAAGACTTAAAATGAGAAAAAAATATGGAAATGTTGATTAATTTATAATTGAAAAACTGTCTACTTCAATTCTACTATTATGTAAGCTATTTATAGAAAAAATGCTTAAGCATGAATAGAAAGAGTCATATACAAGAATGCATAGAAATTTTATAAAAATGAGAACTGGAGTGGGAATGCTTGTGTGGGAAGGACTGGATAAATTGTAGAGCATTGTGTGGCTGTCTGAAAGGATCTGCAGTTATATACAGTGTGTCCAAAAGTTCTCTATGACATCAGTTAGTGAAAATGTAAGTATTTCAGTTTAATAGCAAGCTATTTTGTTTAGAATTGGTGTGAGAGTGCATGTTCTTGTATACAACATGGTCTAATTTATTTACAGACTGAAAGGAAAACTAATGTGTTTCTAATTCTGTATGTGAAGGCACTGAGAGAGGTCAAAAGGATGTGTGTAAAGGGCAGTACTCACATTTTGGTGGTTCCTTTGAAGAATGCAAGGCCAAGGTATACTTGAGCTATCTACTATTCTTAAGAATAACTTATGGAAAAGGCCCCACTCTTCTAGCCGTTGTTATTTATGCAATTAAATTGGAAATGAGCCACATGCATTGAGGGACACCTTTTGGAGCCCTACTCATATTCCCACCTTTCCCAGTGGACTACTCTTCCAGAGCACCAACTTCTGGATTCTCCAGTCAGCTTGGCCAACTGTGAAGTGAGCCTGGTCATTGTTCATGTCCTTGCTATCTTAAAACATTTGAGTAGAAATGGAGTCTTTTATAGCATTTGTTCATTCTCTTCCAGTACATTTTAAAGTGGGAAAGTGAGTTTAAAAACAGTTTTTTCTCCCCAAGCACTTAGACCAACGATAATTCTGAAATGTCAAGGTACCTTGGTATAAATCTCAAAACACCAAAAGCAACACCTCCACACACACATACACTGTAAGGTGAAAATAACATATATCTATAATTATATCCTAAGTTAAATAAAACAGTTAAAAATTGCCCAATGTCCTTTAACATCTTTTTAATTTCAGAAATGGCAATGTTACTTCCACATTTAAAAAAAAACACCATAGAAATACTGTAAGAAAAATTTATAATAAACTTATCATTATTGTTTTACACTTTGGTAAATTCAGGCTAAACCAACATCAAATTAACCAGAATTAAGTTTAGGTCTCTAGTTTTCTGCCTTCTGAGCTGGGGCTTGGTTTCCTCCTTCCCTAGAGCATAGGGCACCTTCCACATGCCCTTCACTCTCGCAACGGCTGCCTAAAAAGGCAAGTTTCACATCTGGGGTTGGCAATACAGCAAGCACATCACAGATAGGAATGGGGAAACAATGCGAGAGTCTGAGTAAAAATCAATTTAGGAAAAGGTAGAATTTCATATGATTCGATAAAAGTGTCTGGGCTGTTGTGAAGGAATAGGCTTCGAACTTGCACACAGGCTGCAGTCTGGAACTATTCAGAAGACACTTTCATTTTTAACAAGAGCCCTCTACTGTCCCTCCATTGAAAAATATATCCTAACCATTAAGCCCCGATAGAAAGGAGATGTGATATTTTCAGTGACCTCACCTAAGATGAAGGTGTGTGTGTCTGTGACAAATAAAAGTTGTTGTTGTTTTTTGTTGTTGTTGTTGTTGTTTTAAAAAAAAGTCTGTATATCTAATGGGGAGGACTAACTAGCCAATGGATTTTTTAATGCATGTAAATACATTGAAATACTAAGAAAAATTCACAAAATTGCTTTGTTCTGCACTACAGTAGCATTACTGTAGCACACAGCTCCGTAAACCAGCAGGATATTATGAAATTATGATCACATTCGCCATCGCTGCTTCGCCCCAAGAAAAGGCAGTTGACGGGAATGGAAGTCAGAAGGGAAGGTTGGAACTGAGTTCATCCCAGTGCCTTACCGACCATCTTCACACAGAGACCACGGAAGAGAATGGGCTCTTTCTTTCTATGGATTGTCAGCTGTGCCTGTCTCTGCTGAGAAACTTGCTGGCAGAGAAGGGGTGGTTGAAACTGTTAAGACGTGTCCCTGCTGTTCAAGCCGCTGCGGTGGCCTCTGTGAACTGGAGAGCCTGTCCTCAACATACTGCACAAGTGCAGCATGAAAGACAGCGAATGCGACCAAGGAACCTTATATAACAGAAATCCGGGAACAGCACAAAATGCGATCAAACCATAGTGCGCATCTGCCTGGCGCACAAAAATGAAAAACCACCCTCCTTTCTGATTTAAATTGTGCCATACTGGGTTTCTGGCCAATAATTGAGGAGATAGAAGAATAGAGAGTGCAATCAGTCTTGGAAATAACCGCTTTATTATATACTTTAGCCGCTTCTAGAGCACAAAAAAAAAATGTGGACTCTTAGGTGAGGCTCAGCTCTGCATGGCCATGTTCAGGGAGAAAGGTTCAAATGATGCTGATTCTGTTAGGTTTTCAAAAGTCTGCTTTAGCTCTTAAAATAAATGGACGGTAGCAAGAGCAGCAGAGTCCAGCCATCCTAGCAGGCGGCTTGGTGCTCCACTTCGAGGACTCTCTAAACTGCCACAAATTCTGCTCAATCTTCGGTGGATTACAAAACACTGCATAGAACTTGTGGTAGTTGCTTTTTCTCCTTACTCCAGATGCCTTCAGGTTCCAACCTGAAGATCCAAAGTCCCAAGCTTGATCTCCTGCACACCTGGACTACAGCAGAAGGGACACCTGAGCTCACCTCGCCCCACCTCTGCCTTTCCACATCCCTACCTCTTTAGTGCTTGTCCTGAGAAGCACGCGCTTTCCTGGCCTTGACCTCCATAGCCTGGACTTCGCTAGCCAGCCCAACGACACCAAGAGAGATTGCCGGGTGCCAGAAACTCTAACCTCCAGCTAATCAGAAGGGAAACACCTGGTGCATCTCCGCGACCTTTTCGCGTCCAGTCACGCTTGGTGACATTTCCAGCGCAGGGAGCAGCTAAGACACAGGATTTGCACCACCGCGACCTCTGGAGACCCAGGCTTCGGGCAGCTTCTTGGATTAATCCCCTGAGCAGGAAGGAAAAAGCCTGCTTTCCTGGCGCTGCGAGGCGAGAGCTACCGGAGCGGCGCCCCGCCGGGAGAATGCTGCTGCCGGGGACTCGGGGCGCGGCCAGTCGCAGCTTCTTTGCGAGGGGTTAACTGCAGCTCCTGCGGCCAGGCGGGCGCGATCGCTTCCTCTCCCGCTGCCCCGGAACATGGATACTGCGCCCACGAGATGTTCGCGAGCTGAACCAGGCAGTCAGGAAACATGAGAAGGCCTCGATATTCCGGGTCCCGGGCCGCGCGCGTCCGTTTGGGTAAATAAAGCCGAGACGACGGCGGTGGCGGCGTTGAGCTCGTCGAAGCTTTTGCCGAGAGCATGCGTCGGGGATGGGAGTGTGCCTAGATCCAAGGAGGGACAGCCAGCCACTGGCTGAGGGCTCCGCGGCCACAGGTACGGCCCTGGGTCCCCTCCCCTGCGCCCAGCCCCAGGCTCGCCCAGGCTGAGTCGCAGCTGCTCCCCAGCAATCAGCAAGCCCGGGCTCTGCCCTCCCCTCCCCCCACCTCTGTCTGAGGTCGAGTGAGGGGCGCTCCTGGGTGTTGGTCAAGGCTGGAGGGAGGATCTGGGAACCAGCTGGCAGCCCACCTGGCCGCCTTTGCTTTGCTTTCTAATTTTCCACGGGCCAGTTCCGCAGGGAGCGCGCTCCCAGTACAGCTAGGAGAAAATCTGGGTAAGTGCAGAGCACAAGAGCAGAAGGGGGTTGTAAGGGACCTTTCGCGGGACCAAGGAAGAATTAGGAATTATAGGTCTTAACTGCCCCTACGCCCCCACGCCGACCCGTTGTAATGGTTTGGATCTCTAGGACTTGTGCCAACCTCCTGCCACCGCGCCCGCAGTTACAGTCCTGGACCATGGCTGTGTTTGCAGTCTGTGGGAAAGGTCCTAGATAGCAAACCTCACCATGACTTTGCTAGAGAAAAGGCGCTGTTGTGTCTAGGACTGGTCTGTGTGGAAAGAGGTGAAGTGTCGGGGAAGGACGCCAGCACCAGCGAAGAGACATGATCGCCAATCGTCGAAACAGGGGCTTACGGCTCACAAACTTGCTTTGACACTTATCGCCAAGGCTGTATGCGCACCCCGACCGGTACCTATCTGCTCAGGATTCAGCCCTACGGTGTAACGCTGCGGCCACCAGAGATCTGACTTCTCTTTCCATACCAACACTGACAGTGGCCGTCGCTTAGTCGCTGTGGCTTTTCCTAAGTGTTGCGTGTGGCCGCCACTGCAGTGACTAGAGGGCGGGGCAGGGGGCGTTGGCGGTTGTAGGCGCTGCAAACTCGAGAAGCAGGATGTGTGTTGAGGGGGTGCTGGCAGCTCTATGTGAACGACTCGGAGTAGACCGAGATACCAGGGGTTGCCAAGGGGGAAGATCTGACCGCTGGGCATGGTCCAGATCTCGCAGCAATATTGCAGTTTTTCTGCGGTGGTGTGGCCTTGCTCCGGATGCCCGCACCTGGTGGGCTGAGGCCTCCAAAACGTTCCAACTCCAGAGGTGAACTGCAGGCTGTCCCGAAGGCCGGTGGCCACAATCTGAAAGTGCGGGAATCACTGCCTGCTAGGAGGCTTCAGACTTCTGAATTGGGCTCAAATTCCTGAGGATTGAAATCCTCAGAAACCCAGGTCCTGGCGCCTTCGCTTTGAGCGCCCCAGAAAAATTCGGGAATTTGTGATACATTTGTCCTGAGACCATTTAATTTTCTGGTTTGGGACTCTACGCCTAACTTTCTCCGCTGTCCTTATTTCAGCGGGAAACTTCAACCGAAAGAAGCAGGGACTCAGCTATATGGTCCAAGATCTAGAAAATATGGACATCCCTTGACACCAAGAACTAGGACGCACTGACCCGCCCTTATGAATGCAATTATTCATGTTACCCAAAAGCGTCTCATCCCTCCAACTCCTGCTTAACCTAGAAGAGGCTTTATTCTGTGTGTGGTGCTTAACGAATATCTCTTCCTCCTCCTCCTTCTCCTCCTCCTCCTCCTCCTCCTTTTTCTTTTTATTCTAATTCTGTTTTGCTGTCCTAATTGTATGTCTATTAGAGACCGAAAAGTTCGTTTGGAAATTGCGTTCTTTGCCTCGGTAGGTAAATTATTTCTGTTTGAAGTTCCTAGAGGTGTGGGAGCTTGATTGTCCGGAGAAGAAGGGCGGGGACCTGTCCCAGGAGTGCTGTGCAGATAGCCTGGTGCTGAAGGCCGTTCAGTAGCATACCAGCAGCAATACAGCCCTGGCCTTCAGCTCAGCGGCCCCGGAGCCCTCATCAAGTTCAGGGCTCCTGAGCTGTGGAAAGCTGAGCACAGTCGGGAGTAACGTGATGCGCCTTGATCTTCTAGAACCGGAGCCCTACTGCGGAGTTCCTGGCGGCCCGGCTCCAAGGCTCTGCGGCGAGGCCGGGAATCCCTGCCAGCCCGCACCATGAACACCATCGTCTTCAACAAGCTCGGGGGAGCGGTGCTTTTTGAGGACCGAGGTACCCCAGAGCGGGAACGTGGGAGCAGACCATACGGTGGCATTTTGGACAATCCACACGCACGCCCGGAGGTGGGCATTCCAGATGGCCCGCCCCTCAAGGACAACCTCGGCCTGAGACACCGGAGGACTGGGTAAGCTCATCGGCCTGTGCTGACCCGCGAGTCCGGAGGGTAGGAGCGGCGAGTTGCGGGGAGGGTGTGTGAAGCACAATCTAAAATTTGGGAATAGGGAGTCTGCAGCTTCCCTCCTGGACTCAAACACCCTATTCTTAAGGATTTACCTCCTCAAAACTGGAGGGACTAATTCCGTAGAACAGTTCAAAAGAGACTTGGTGGAAATTGAGCTGATGCCCAGTCCTCCCACACCTAGAGGTCCCTGACAATCTGGGACCTGGCATAGTTTCTTGCTTTCTCTGCATATCGAGGGAGTAGACTGAGTGCTGTACTCTTTGACTGGGGAGACCCAACCTTCAAACAGACGGTTGGTCCCAGGTAAGGCCTCGGTCACCCGGGGATGTCACCTTGGCCTCAAGGTTCCCTTGGCCTGGGACTAGGTCGGTTCCCATACCGGGACTAGGTTGGTTTCCATACTGGGACTAGGTCGGTTCCCATAAGGCGTCCCTGGCGCTCACAGCTCGGCGAAGTCCGCCGCGAGCCCGGAGAAGGAGGCTGCAGACCTGCCGGCTTTCGGTTTCTAGAGTTAAGCCGGTTGTCGTCGTCTGGGAGCTTTGGGATGAGCCATCTGCAGAGTGGCAGCAGGGTAGTGTGTGCCTGGCCAGGTTTTGGCAGTTCCTAAAGCGGCCGGCCTCCTCCTAAACCACAACACCGGCTGCTTCTTTGGCCGCACTGATGCTTAGTAAAAGAGATTAGGTTGTTTCAAACTGTTACAACCAGTCAAAGAGGATGGAATTGCATTTCAAAGAGTTAGAAGCTGACGTCCGGAGGCAGGGGCACAGACGCTCGAGCGGGGACTGGGGCTGGGAGCGCTCGCAGTTGTGCGGCGACACCTCCCGGAGCCTCTCGGGAGCGCATCATACCATACCAACTCTAGAATGGTGGTTGCTTTGTTTGCTCCTCTTGGAAGTCTGCTTTCCTGGGGTCTTCTACAAACCTTCACCTATTGAAACGACATTTCACACGTTCCACTCTTTCTAAGAGGGAAAGAGGCCCTAGACTGCTTTGTAGGGTCTGCTGTTTTCCCAGCTTCCCGCATTTCCAGAGCATCAAATGAAATAGGGAGTCTAGGCAGTTGTCTCCGCCTTCGGAGTACATGTTCCCTGACCTTGACCAGCAGTCCCGGGACCTTAGCAAGAGGACTCGGCCCTCCCCCTGAGGCCAGAGCCTCTCAATGGTCTATAGAAGCAGGCGAAGAAAGAATCAGTTAGCTCTGGATCCAGTTCTGCAGTCTAGAGGATAGTTTTCACGTGGCATTCGCCCCTACCCCTGCAATCCTGCCTTGCTGGTATCACGATAGCTCCCCCTTTTCAATATAAATGTAAGGCCTTGCACTGGCACAGAACCCTATGGTCAAACAGGCTATTTAGAGAGATGCCAGTGCTCCCACCGAGAAGTGAAAAGTGTGGGTTTCCTTTTCTTGTTTTGCCCCAACTGTGGGGGCTCTTAGAGTTGTGATGCATAAGGATAGAGAGCCAGGATTGCTGGGGGGGGGGGGGGTGAAGTTCAGTTAAGCCCAGGCTTGGTGCTGACATCATAGAAATTCGACCTACCATGTAGTTCTTAGGGCCACCAAAAAGGTGCCACTAACACGTCCCTCTCCTCTCCTCATGTGCCAGGGTCCGACAGAATGGAGGGAAGGTGAGGCACAAGCGACAGGCCCTGCAAGATATGGCGAGGCCTCTTAAGCAGTGGCTTTATAAGCACCGTGACAACCCTTACCCCACGAAGACCGAGAAGATATTGTTGGCCCTCGGTTCGCAGATGACACTAGTGCAGGTAATCCAGACCCCTCAAACCGGGGTCTTCCCTCCTCACCAGCGGCTGAGGAGCAGAAATGCAGTGCTACTGGGGTTGCGCCTCTCTCTAGGAAGGATGGTGACCAGGCGGGTCCAGATACCCTGATTTCTGTTGCAGAGGAGGATGAGGGCTAGGCACAGGTGCCAGGTCCTATCATAGAAAAGAGATTTCACCCCTAACAATCACCTCGGTGCGAATGATTGGGTCCAGAAGGAATTTGTGTGATGCATTGTTGCGGATGGCGAGAAGAGAAGGCCTGCTGGAATGTGGTAAGAAGGTGATGGGTATGAATCTGGATTCAGGAGCCACAATGGATAAGGGTGGTGCAACCCACCGTGGTTTTCAGTCTTTAGTGTTTGTCAGGTACTAGGAAGTCTGCTTAGAGCACAGATTGTTGCATCCTGCTTTGCTCATCGTTCCTGATCATGTAGTTCTGGGGTGGAGCCATAAAATGTATGTCTAACAAGTTTCTAGGTGGTGCTGAAGATGCTTGTTCAGCTTTGAGCACCCTGGGGCCTGTGGGTGCATATTGGAACCCAAGTTAAAGCACACTACAGATTCAGATTAAGTAAGAACAACCATTATTCAGAGGTAAGCCAGAAAGCAGGAAAGCTGGGAAGAAGGCAGCCTCATCTTGGCACACACTCCTGGGCTGAGGAGAGATTTCAGATTGTGAGTGGCCGGTTCACTTTGTCAGTTGTAGAGAAATCAACAAACATGCCAGCGTGTTTTTTTTCCCTTGTGAACAAACACTGCTTTGTGTTTAATTAGCTTTTCTGAGCACAATCTTATTTGCTATTCCCCCAAACTGTCCGTATAGAGCAGTTACTCCCATTTTTACCAAGGTGCGGGGGAACTGCGGGTAAAGGATAGAGGAACAAATCCTGGATCAAATGCTTTCCCATTACACTGCAATTTTCTTTTGGCTGAACTCCCCTATCAACATAGTGATGTAAACTTCGGTGTAAACAACAGATTTAAGAAGAGGAGGCCGCAGGGTGAGCGGGAAACTCCATATATTATAGGAGCACAAGTGAAAAAATTTGGGCATCTCATCAAACATATAAGAGCTGTGAGATCCAAAATAAAGCTGCACTCGATAACATAAAAATCTCTTTCCAGAGTATTTACAGTTTCATTTAAGAATTACTGGAAAGTTTGACAAAGCATTTGTGCTGGCTTGTAACAAGTCTCCACAAAATTCCAACATGTATTTTTCTGCTTATTTTCAGAAAACAGTTTTAGAGAAAAACATCTGCTTTCTTTCCTATCAACAGGAAATTGTAATAATGGTGATTTGCCACAGCACTGGAGGCAGAAACTAACTCCTCAGTCTTGGCTTGAGATCTGTTTAACACAAAACTGTGAACCTTGCGAAAGCAGTTTCTAAATAGTTATTACAATAAGAAAAATTTGACTTATGAAAACAAATGCATATGCTTCAATATTAACTTGAACATGCCTGTCACTTATTCTGGACATATGCCCACTTACAGAGAAGCATGAATTCTAGCAGAAAGTTCTACAATCAACTACATTATTCTGGACTTGGCTTCACTGCTGTTCATATGTAAGGCAGGTTTATTTGACATGTTTTTAAAAATAGTGTTTAGTGATTAAAAAGTAGCATTTGTAGTTATGAGAGAAATTTTATACTTTAATTGTTAGCTTGAATGAACTGAAATTATACTCTTAATTTAGTAATATAGTTACTTGAAACTTGCAATGATAGCTTCAATACAAATAACTGCTTTCACACTTATATCTTGGTAACACGACTACATTTTTCTAATTTATGTGAAATTTTCATTCAAAAATTATTTATTCTTTTATACAGTTCAGAACATAAAATATGTAATTCTTAAGTAAGGAAAAGATTATTTGTCATTAGATGATACATGTACACAATGATTTTTATTATTTTCAGAAAGATAAATTTCTTAAACTTTAAAATGATAAGTGGAAAAATTTGAAATGCATAAAATTTTCACTCAGGGATCTTATTTATAATCCACCTTAGGCTCAGTTATTTTCACCATGCACAATGGCACATGCAAAAGATGTATGTAATATGCGATGTATACCCACACATCTACTTATATAGGAATTTATTTGAGTCAAGCATGAATTAGACATCCAAAGTATATTCCAGCTTTATGGAAACTGTTTAAATTATACAAATACTTTACACTTCTAGAGGAAAAACGTAGAGCTATGATCTGAGTCAAGCTTTTGGTCCTTGCAAATTAGACTCTTGTCCTGAGTCAGTCTCTCCCTATGAGTCACTTTCTCCTGTGGAGTGAGGTTTCTTCAGAAGAGTGGTCATGTCTTACTCATGGGGTTCACACCGTAGCATGGCTCTCTCCGGGCAGCACACTATCCCTACGTGCTTGTAGATCAAATAGCTTTCTTCTGGGAAATGGCATTCGAAACACATAGCTTTCCAGAATGTCTTTCTGACAATTACAGGAAAGCTGGAACTCTTGTTTTAGTTTCAGAACACAGCAGAGAACACACAGCTTATTAACTTCATCCTACAGGGTGAAGTCTTTAGAACAAGGACAAGTATGACTCACTTTGATTTCAAAATGTCTACAAATATACTGCACATGCATGCCTACAGGCAGATGTGAAAGCTGCCCTTGCTTCTGTCTGAACTCATGATTCTTGTTGACTACAGGGCCTGCTTTTGCTTCTTCCTAGTGGCTTGTTACAACAGGCTGTGACTGTAACTATTTTATTCCTCAACAGAATATCTTAAGTTTGAGGATTTATTTTACATTTAACATTTTCCTCTGAGTGTGTGTCAAACTTTTCCTGTACTGTAATTCTCCTTTCCTTTGCTCCTCTTGAACTGCCGAGGGAAGGTGTGAAACCTGGTCAGCAATCTCCCTTGAAGCACAGAAGTAAAAAGATGGAAATATGTTTTAGTACGTTTTCTGATACATAGAATCCTGGAGGACACTGGTTAGTACCTACAGTTTTTTATCCCCGAGAAAATGAATTAACTAATGATCATGTGACTCTCGCTTATTGTTTGTTATTCATTCACCTTAACATTTTGGTCCTAATTTGCTATCACTGTGCTTAACTTTTATTTGCACATATCATCTTTATGAGAGAATAAAAAGGAGAGTATTCCTTTATGACATGCTTTGGTGTCAACCAAACAAAATCTTATACTTGATTTGGTTCATATCAATAACACTGTTCATATATTATAAAAATGTGCTATGTATTCCTAAAATAGGAATAGCTTGTGCTGTTGCAGATCAATAACAAATAGTATGAGATGGAAAGTTAGTATCATCACAAGATATGTAACTTCCATAGAATAACGCTTGGGTATTGAGACTGCTTCTTTCACTAATATAACTTCGCATCCCTGTGATGTGCTCGTGGACATTTGACAAAATCATAGTGTTACAAAAAATTGTTTCCAACATTGGCATAGCTGTTTTTGCTGGTTGCTGAGTATTTATTCTGAGAAAATACTTGTTATATATTCAAAAAAATCTTAGACGAGGCCTTATACGTCATTCCAAGTGCTATTGGTACAGAGAGAAGATCCCCAGTATTTACATAATAATTCAGACTATATTTGTTAGTTTAATATGTTCAAAACTGGAGAGACTCCAGCTCATTCCTTTGGGTTCACACTGCAATTGCTCTGTCCATACAACACACCTAAGCACTTTTAGTAAAGATGTGTGGAAAACCACTTTCTCTTCCAGCTTCTAGATACTTGGCTCTTTAAGCCTTTGCTATAAAATATGCATTTTTAAAAGAACTTCTGACATTAAAGTGCTGTTCCAGAATCTACCTTGGGTAAGAGAATATGTACGACCACATGAAGAAATCCAAAGTAAGTGTAAAATGTCGAAAATGGGAGTCTATATTTTTATTGTCAGTGACACAAGAAATGTACATTTAATCAATTAGAAAAAAATGCAAAATATGCAAATTCACCAACCATTGCTACATCTGTTGTTCACAGAAGTCAATATTAAACACCCCCAGGCTACGCTTAGCTGTTAAGTTGTACTATACATTTCTGGTGATAAAATCCAGACCACATATGTATGCTAGCAGACTTGGTGTTGGTCAAATTTGTGAAACAAGTTTAGAAAAACCCTATGTTAAAGATCACTGACCTTTCTGAAAAATCATGTAATGTCTTTATAATAGGTTGAGAACTAGGAATATTTAACACATTTAAAAGTAGATGATCTCCAATTGTGAAAAGCCAATTAATTTCCTGGGACATTTAAATGTTCTTCCATTTTTATGCATTAGAATTATGGTACACTATGATTATAGTTATTATATTAAACATAATTAGTGCATTATTTTGTTTGTTTTTTAACGAGAAGTCCATTTCACTTTTATTATATGAAGTGTCATGAGGATTGGTTAAGATCTAGCTAATGCAGTCTGAATTAAATGTTGTTTAGTAAAGAAAGTAACACAAAAAGGTTTGGTGTTGAGTCCTATGAAATGTGCTATAAACATAGGAGAAGTTGCAGGCTGGCTCCTCTGTGTGAGAGGTATAAAGACAGGCCTACTCACACACAACTGATTTCAAAGAAACAGTGATGGGAAAGTAAGCTGCAGAGAGGCGGTGGACAGTGACGGCTGCTCCACGACTCTCTACTCTAAGAGAAGATGAAAATGCTAGGAAACATCTGATCCATTTTACAGCAGGTGAAGGGCTCTCTGTCTGTCTGTCTGTCTGTTTGTTTGTTTGTTTCACACCAAGGAGCAAACCCAGAGCTTTGCACATGCTAGGCAAATGCCCTACCACTGTGTCATATCCCAGCCCTGGATGAAGTATGCGAAGGTCAGGAAAAGTTGGAATGAATGAACCAAATTTACATGACATGCCATGTTTTGAGATAATTCAGAACAGAAAAACAGGCTACTTTTCATTACACCATAGTCACATTAGTAATTAGGACATTAGTGATAACTTGAAGAAGTAAATTAAGTCAAAACAATGCATCACATTTGAATTTGATGTTCATTTTAAGATCCATTTAAGAAAACAGAATGGAAACTAGGGAAGTTTGAAAGAATGTTTTTAAAGTTCCCAACTAATAATCATGAGGATTTCATGAAAATTTGGGCAGTGAGTGACAGAACCAGAGGGGAGGGAGGGAAAGGTAGTGACCAGGGGCTCTTTGCTTCCACGGTGAATGACTGACCTTTGTCTCAGATTATCACTGTTGTCATAGCGGTTCAGGTGTGACATTTGTAGATTCATGTGTGCGTGTGCATGTGCATGTATGCATGTTGATATATCCTTTACAAGACCTGCACTTTACACCATAGCTAGTATGCAATAGCTACTCACTGTATATTTGAAAAATGAATACTCCTGGGTTGCCTATGTGTGGAGGATGGAGAGGCTGAGAATTTGAAGCACTGAACCATAGTCATAACGGTTCAGCTTGACCGGTATAGAAGTTGATGACTAAGACTTTTGAAGTGATCTGATACACACTGTGAAAGGACAGCTTTTCAAGGTAGAAGGGGGCAATGCGAATGTAGTCAATGTTGACTTTATATAAAAAAAATACATGCTAGACAAGGAGAAAAATGTATTTTTCTTTTTTAAACAGTAATCACTATAGTTTTAATAATAATTAGATATTGACCAATTTACAAAAATACTTATTTTGTATTTATAATACTTATACTCTACTATAAATGCCCTAAATAAATTTATAGTATGACTAAGAAACAACAACAAAGAAGAATCTTCTACCCAAAACATTGCCACATAAACTATTATAGTAATAGAAGTTTGTGTTCTGGAGCAAATTCACAGAAAAATTATATTTATATAGTTCATATTTTTAAAAGCAAATTTTGTCCTTTTAATTTTTTTAAAAGCTATATGCTTTTAAAATGTGATAGCACATTTTATCCTCTAGGAACTCAATGGCTTAAAGGAAAACTGAAAGTAATTCAAAAGTCATTTCTTTGTCTTCACTGATGTTTCTAACAGCAGACTTTTAGTTTCTAGCAGGTGTTCTGACCTCCCTTCCCCACTTCTCTAATGGCTTCACTTTTGATCATTTTCTACTTTCTCTGTTAAGTGTCTAGTTTCCTTAATTGGCTTCCAGAGCTTGGTCCTGGACTCTCTTCAGTTTGCCTACTCACAACTTAACCTGAAGGTGAACCTCTAAACCTATAACTCTCAAATCGGACCCTCTCTTTCTTTAAGTCTTATGTTCACCTTTTGTTTTCCTGTTGGACTTTCTTCTGTGTGCTTCTCTAGTACCTTAGCTTAGACATTCTTCCAATAGGACACTGGCACATCCTCAGAAAGATTTCTTATTTTTTAAAATTTCAGGGTAACACAGGTTGGTTGACTCAATGTCACCATTAACTTTCCACTCATCGTGTTTGTGGATTTTTATATCATTTATCCTCCCTCCTTTTTCTCCTTGCCCTTTCTTTTGAGATGATGCCTCCCACTTTTTCCCAAGCTGACCCCAAATCCTGGCCTTAAGTGACTCTCCTTCCTCAGCCTCCCAAGTAGCTAAGATCACAGGTATATAGCAGCAACACTGGTCTTGGATCCTTTAAAAGAAAGTAATTGCATAATCGCCTTGTTTTAATGCTTTGTTAATTGAAAAACTGATGCTGTTTTAGGTGTCCAATTGGTTTGCTAATGCTAGACGTAGGCTGAAGAACACTGTTCGCCAGCCAGATTTGAGCTGGGCCTTAAGAATAAAGCTATACAACAAGTACGTGCAAGGCAACGCCGAGCGGCTCAGCGTGAGTAGCGGCGACTCCTGCTCCGAAGGTTCGTTCCGACGTTCTGCTCCTGTCTTTGCTTTGCCATTACATAAGTCCACCTAGGTGTTGTCTTAATGGCTGGCCACAAATATTGTAGTGCCACAGATTTATTTTTTAATGAGGCAACTTCATCCTTACAGTATATAAAGCAACAGTAATTATAACCATTCCCTCTGTTTATAGGAGAAAGCATTTTCCTTAAAATTAAATACCCTATGGAACAATTACATAGGCTCCTGTTTTCTTTTACCTAAAAATTAATCTTATATATTAATTATATATTATATATATATATTAAAAATAATTCTGCATATGGCATATATTCTTTAATTTTGCATATTTTTAATGACTGTGACAGTTGAGCAGCTAGGGGAAGTATGTGCAAACACTAGTTGGTGATGTTTTTCCCCTTAGATGGAGAAAATCCCCCCAGAAATCACACAAACGAAGTGGGCTACAGCACCCCTGCCCATCACACTGTCATTAAAGGGGAGAACTCAGTGATAAAAGCCGGAGTGAGACCGGTGAGGCCAGAGTCAAGGGCAGCCGAGGACTACGTGTCACCTCCCAAGTACAAAAGCAGCTTGTTGAACCGTTACCTTAATGACTCTTTGAGACATGTCATGGCCACAAGCACTGCCATGATGGGAAAAACAAGGCAAAGGAACCATTCAGGATCTTTTAGCTCCAATGAATTTGAGGAAGAGTTGGTGTCTCCATCATCATCAGAAACTGAAGGCAACTTTGTCTATCGCACAGGTAAGTCCAGGCTTTGTTGTAATTATGGTAACCTGTGTAAGACAGATAGAAATCTGTGGCAGAGGGATTTATTATAACAGATATAAGAAAGCCAGAAGATACTTGATTTGCATAATTAGCATAAGATAATTATGGATTGCCATAATTAATTCTGGTGTAAAGCTTTTAAATTTTTTAAACTGGCAATGGCTGTATTTGTCAGTCAATCATGGTCTCAGAGAGCCTGAGATACTTTGCTCTTTAATAGTAAGGCTGAAAATATTCATTCTTACAGATAATTTTAATCATGATGATGTGATAACAGTAGTGATTTCTTTGCTGTGTATTTTGTGTGTGCATCTGTGTATGGGCCCATGTGTGCCAGACACCTTCCTCTATCGTTCTCAGCTTTATTCCTCGAGATTTGTTCTCTCATTGGATCCACCATCTCGTTGGTCTCTGACACACCAACACTGGGGTTACAGGCACATGGCCCATCATGCTTAGCTTTTTTATGTGAGTGCTGGGGGTCTGAATTCAGGTCCTCATGTCCATGCAACAAATTTGCTTTCCCTCTGAGTTATTTTGCTTGCCTGACAATAACAATATTTAAAAGATGCCTATGCTTCCTTTATAAGTAATCATAAAAGAATTGTGCTGGACTGTGGCTAGCCATGCAAATGTTTTATGTTCCATCTATTCTTTTACATACTTTGATTGCTAGAAGTGATAGGAAATTAATACAAATTAACACACCTGCCAGCATTTTCAGAAGGAGAAACACAAACCTAGATCCACTTACTTTGGAAGCTTAACTTTTATACCTGGAAGGTACAAGTTGGGCTGATAAGTAGCTTTGAAGATTTCATATTCATTCCAGAAATATTGAGCTGATTTCTACATGTCCAAAGCATTCAGATGGAGTAGCAGGTTGGTAAAAATTTCTATCTTGATTTTAGCTCAGCAGGACTTGCTTTTAAGGAGTCTTTGAGCAGAGTTACTTTGGAATAAGGGATAGGTGAGATTTACATCTGGTACTGATGCAGCCTGGCTCCTAAAAACACCAATGAATGAGTCTAATGTTAGATCTGGAGACAGTAAAGCACTTAGCCTAGCCATTTACACCACGGATGAGAAAGCCAGCCAAGCACACACAATAGTTAAGCATTGACTGAACAGCACAGCACAGCTGAACCTGCACAAGAAGTTTCAGGAGGGGCACCTCTTGTATCTACTACCACCAATCATTGCCCATAGTTACCCAACACTAATCAATGTCTGTAGCTATACTACTGTCTTTATTTATCCTATTGCCAATCAATGCCTATAGTTAACTAACCTACCACCACCAGTCATTGCCTGTAGTTCACCTACCACCATCAGACATTGCCTGTAGTTATCTTACCACTAACAATCATGTTCTATGGTTATGCTACTGCCATTGACAATGATGTTATTCCCTCAGAATTTATTAAGTACCATGTGTCCAACATCATAGCAGAAGTGATATCTAAATTGTATTCTTAAAGAAGAATGAGGTAGATAATTTCCTGTCACTGAAAACTTTTCCAGTAAGATTTAGTTCATTTTTTTGTTTTATGAAACTCATTTATCTTTCTTTATTGATTTTATCGAGCTATACATTTTTCTCTGCTCCTCTCCCTTTCTCTTCCCTCCCCTTATACCCTCTCCCATGGTTCCAATGCTCCACATTTACTCAGGAGATCTTGTCTTTTGCTAATTCCCATGTACATTAGATCCATGTATAACTCTCTTAGGGTCCTCTTTTTTGTTTGTTGTCTAGGTTCTCTGGGATTGTAAATTGTAGGCTAGTTTGGTTTTGTTTGGGTTTTTTTTTTGCTTTATATCTAAAAGACATTTGAGAGTGAGTACATATGATATTTGTCTTTCTGGATCTGGGTTATCTCACTCAATATGATGTTTTCTAGATCCATCCATTTGCCCGCAAATTTCAAGAAGTCATTCTTTTTTCTGCTGTGTAGTACTCCATAGTGTAAATGTACCACATTTTCCTTATCCATTCTTTGGTCAAGGGGCATTTAGGTTGTTTCCAGGTTCTGGCTATGACAAAATAATGCTGCTATGAACACAGTTGAGCACATGTCCTTGTGATATGGTTGAGCATACTTTGGGTATATATCCCAAAGTGATATTGCTGGGTCTTGAGGTAGATTGTTAACTAATTTTCTGAGAAATTGCCATACTAATTTCCAAAGGATCTGTACCAGTTTGCACTCCCACCAGCAATGAAGGAGTGTTCCCTTTACCCCATATCCTCTCCATCATAAGTTGTCATCAGTGTTTTTGATCTTGGCCTTTCATACAGGTGTAAGATGGAATCTCAGAGTACTTTTGATTTGCATTTCTCTGGTGGCTAAGGATGTTGAGCATTTCCTTAAGTGTTTTTCAGCCATTTTAGATTTCTCTGTTTATGCATGTACCCCATTTTTTATTGGATTATTTGTTCTTTTGATGATCAATTTCTTGAGTTCTTTGTATATTTTGGAAATCAGACCTCTGTCCAATATGGGGTTGGTGAAGATCTTTTCCCAGTTTGTAGGCTACCATTTTGTCTCGTTGACCATGTCCTTTGCTTTACAGAAGCTTCTGAGTTTCAGGAGGTCCCATTTATTCATTGTTGCTCTTATTGTCTTTTTTCCATTTTATATTTTTTGCTTCTTTATCAAAAATCAGGTGTTCGTAGATATGTGGATTGATATTTGGGTCTTCGATTTGGTTCCATTAGTTCTCTGGTCTGTTTTTATGCTGAAAACCAGGCTGTTTTTTCTGTAGTAGAGTTTGAAGTCAGGGGTTGTGATGCCTCCAGAAGTTCCTTTATTGTACAGAATTGGTTTGGCTATCCTGGGATGAAACTCATTTTTCAAGTTATGTTGTACAACAAGGACCAAGTGAGAAAGAGTAGATGGTGAAACCTGTGGCTGAAGTGAATGACCTAAGAAGTCTTCTTAGAGATCAGCAAGCATGTGATGGCACAAAGAGAAGATGGGGTCTGGAGGTGCTACTTACCCATCAGCTCCCCTGATAATGATATGGCTTATATACGACAGGCTCTTCTCTGACTATTGAGCACCTCTCTTTGAAGTAATGATATTTGTTTAATTCTTACTGAGTAGTTAGCCCACACCCCTGTCATTTACTGAGTAGTGATGATACACTTGGCCCTGCCTTGGGGACCACACATTTCTGCATAACTTCTACATGAAGAGCCTGCCATGGCAACAGTAGAGCATTAGGAAGAAATCCACATTAGAACACCAAGTGCAGCCTTCAGAGGGGTTAGCCTGAAATCTCCTCAATTATCTACAGATGTGAACAGTGTTATCATTCCAGAAGTGTCAGGACATCCTTAAAGAAATGAGTTGACATTTTTCAGTTTGCATCTCTATCTTCCACATCATAAAGTAATTCCAAACACACACAATATAAAGACAGCCTCAGAAGGAAGGATTGGGTAAAGTTAAAAATAAAAAGTTGAAAATAAAAAGCCATTTATCCAATAATGAAAACAAAGAAAATCTGTATTATTATCTGAGTAGAGATTGGAGTTAATTTCGAGTTTTAGAAATGTTTTCAGAGAAAGAAAAATAAATTAAGAAATTCCAAATGCAGGTGTTTAAAAGAAAAACAAAAGGAAAATGGGGGTAAAATGAAAGTCATAAAATAAATTAACCAAAAGTTTGAAAGCAATAATAAATAAACAAAAATAGTCACAAATTAACATTGGAGATGACAAACTAGGTTTATAGACAAATGTATAGTTATCAAGAAGACTTTTTTAAATTATCATGAAGGGACTGGGGAATGACTCTGTGGCTAAAGCATCTGTCACACAAGCAGCAGGCCTCAGGACCACAGTTGAGATCACCAGCCCCTCATGAAAGTCTGTAATCCCAGCACTTGAAAGGAAGCCAGAGGCTCTCCGGAGAAAGCCAACTAGTGAGACCAACTTGACCAGCAGGCTCTGGTTCAGTCGAGAGGCCCATCCTCAGTGGACAAGGAGGCAAGTGGTTGAGGAAGACTCCAAATGTCAACCTGGGGCTAACATATGCACATAGATACAGTACATACAACATGTGCAAACATATGCACATAGATACAGTACATACAACATGTGCAAACATATGCACATAGATACAGTACATACAACATGTGGAAATATATGCACAAACATACCTACACATCTGCAACTGTGTATATGCAATAGATTGATATTAGCCTTGAAAATAAAAGATAAATTCATAAGTAAGAAAATTTTATAAGTAACCAATAACTCAGGAGAAATTCAGGTTTTCAGTAAATCCAGTGCCCCAAAATTATAAATTTATGAATCCATTGAACTGTTTTTGTTTTTTCAAACTTAGAGTAAATAAGTCTTCAGTTTTATATATTTTCTGGAACATTTAAAATTATAAGAAGTTCTTCATTTCTTAAAAATGTAGATGTAATCCTAATCCCAGACAAGATTCAGATAATAGAGAAAGCTTTTTTTTAAAAAAAAAAAAAAACATGTTGAGAGATTTTTTTTACAGTTCAACAGAAGTATGGAATACAACTAGGCATAAAATTTACATAGAGAGGTATAGCAAAGATTTCTTGGAAGAAAAATTACAATTAATGAGGTGCATTAGGTAGCAACTGTTTATTTAGAAAATGGTGTTCCTTATAAACACATTTATGCTACCCAGTGAAAACAAGGCCATCGCCTGTAAAACGCCCCTTGTGCTGACTCTTGAGAACATGCGCTCTTTTCAGAGGGGATGAAACGCACGCTCAGGAGGGGGCTGTGCCTGCACTTGATGATTTTCAGACTTAGATAGTTTATTAGCTGCTTGTTTTTCTTGGCCATCCTGAGAGCACTTGGTGCATACTGAGTACCACTCATCTGCCGGCTCCCTGTAGAAATAAAGCCCATTTTTCAGTTATCCAGCCAGTGAGAAAGCAACCTACACATGTAAACTTTTTCATGCATGTGTGTAAAC